TCTCTCTCTCTCTCTCACCGACACACACACGCTCTTTCTTTTCTGCCATGCGTATGCATGTCTGTAGCATACGTATAAACGTATAGTTGGGCCGGTCGGGAAAGGAGTGAGGGGGCGAAACAGAAAAAAGGTCCTTTCTCGCGCGCGCGCACCCACACCGTCTCTGCCTTTCCTTGTAGGTCATAACATACAGCCGCACGTGCGTGTTCGTGTGTGTAAGGAGTGGCGATGCTTCAGCGTACGTTCCTGCGGCGCATGTGGCTGGGCGGCACCATGTCCACCGCCGCGCTTGGCCACGACGTGCGCCCCGCGTCAGGAAAGTATATCAACGTCGTGCCGCCCACCGACATTCCGACAGGAATCGCGGCGGGGTCGCTGCCGCCAGAGGCGAACGTGGCTGCTGTGCTGCCGGTGCCGCACACGTACCTTAGCAAGTGGAACCGGGCATTGCGGAGTGACATTTATGATGAGTTGCTGAAGCTTCCACTGCGTTTTAAGCTGCACGACTTTTCGAAACTGTGCCCTCCTCCACCTCCTCCTCCTCCTCCTCAGCAGCAGCAGCAGCAGCAGCAGCACCAGCAAGACCAGCTGCCGCCAGTAGGGGTGATTGGTAGGGACTCTGTGGTGGGATACCTCCCGCCACTCGGTCCGGCGGACCCGCTCGACACGATTCCCTTCTTTGTGCATCGCAACAGCAACGGTTCGCTGCCAGGGAAGTTGTACTCGATGAACGCGCGCAATCTGATGCCGGCCTTCTATTTGCGTATCCAGCAGGTGGAGGGTGATCTCTTCCGCTTCGAAGAGGAGCTGTTGAAGATTTTTCCGACAAAGAAGATATTTGTGCGCAGTCACTCCATCTACGTGTACAACGTGGGAATCGACGGAAAGATGATCCTGCACCACTGGCTTCTCGGCTTGGGTTTTTGAAGAAACGTGTGTGTGGAATGTCCGTGTCTGTGCCTGTGTCTGTCTCTGTGGGTTAAGCTACCTCTTCCTTGACTTCTTCTTTGGTGTTTTCTTTCTTTTTTTTTCGGCGGAGAGCGTTCGCCATGCCCATACACGCTCTCTGGTTGTGTTTTCACTTTGCTCTCGCTCTTCACTGCAGCAATACCTGTAAGTAGTAGTGCCACACGTGCTGGTCAGAGAGGAAAGCGCATTGCATCTGTCTTTCTTTCGTTGGAGCTTTGCGTTCCTGTCCGTCTGCACTCATGTCCCTCAAAACGCCACGTCTTCCTTCGCTGGGGGGATGCATGCGAGACGGTATAGCTAACATAACTTGGCCGATAGGCCCCGGCGCATCTGTGGTGGCGTACACTCCAGGCCTCGTAGCTTACCAAAGGCAGAAGCCTAAACTGCCTGAGCCTCCATTCCTCGTGCGCATGTGGTTTATTGGTTTCATTCTGATCGGCGTCTTCTTTGTGGGAATCGCGGTGGTGCTTGCGATTTGCGTCCAGTTCTACTTCAGTGCGTCTGAACAGCGGCGAACGGAGAAGGTGCTGGATAGGGGGGAGGGGGGTTTTATTGCCACTGATAGCACCGAAAACCCATTCCTCACCACAGGGTCGGTCCTCGAGGAGGAGGAAGAGGAGGAGGAAATGGAGGAGGGATAGTGAAGTCCGAGGTAGCGGGCGTGACTGGGGGTACATAATGCTGCACAGCATCTGGGTGTATGTGGATTGGTGTAGCGTTAATTCATTGTGTACTGTGTCATTTCTAATTTTTTTTTTTGGATTTATTTTGGGGTATCATTTGAAGTCATCTTTTTGTTGTTGTTGTTTCTGTGTCTATGCATATGTAGAAAAGGGCTGGGGGTGCCGATGGCACGATCAGCGCAAGGGCTGGAAAGAAATAGGAAAGGCCCACGGAAGATTGTTATTCATCCATTTGTACTTTTATGTGTGCATATATGTTTTATTCCTTGAATTTTGTGCGTGTTCTACAGGCGAAACACGGCGCAGCTGTAGCCGATGGACACTTCTCTCAGCGTGTTTGCATTCTGTCGTCCCCCGCACACTCTCGACTTTTGTGTTTTTTTTTTCCACTTTGCTCTCGCTCTTCACTGCAGCAATACCTGTAAGTAGTAGTGCTACACGTGCTGGTCAGAGAGGAAAGCGCATTGCATCTGTCTTTCTTTTGTTGGAGCTTTGCGTTCCTGTCCGTCTGCACTCATGTCCCTCAAAACGCCACGTCTTCTTCCTGTGCTGCTGCTGCTGCTGCTGCTTTTGCATGCATGCACGGCGTACGCGGCGGGCGACTACCCCTGGCAGACGCTCCCACCGACGGGCCCCGGGAACACCGGGCCCATTGTGTACCCGCCCGATACAGTGCATTACGCGCGCATGTCCACGGAGCCGCATAAGCCGGCCTTCTTCACACGTGCGTGGTATTTTGGTTTAATTCTCATGGTGTTTGGCATGTTGGGAGTTTATTTAGTCCTGGGTATATGCGTACAGCTGCACTTTCGTGGTGGGGAGAATGGGCAGGCGATGAGTTGGACGGAGAGTACTAATGAAAGTGCTTATGAGTGTAGCGAAGTCACTGAAAACCCATTGGACTATTACTATTAAAACAATGGTTTCTGTGTGTGCGTGTGTGTGTGTCTTTCGGTCGTGATGCGCGCAGTGTGGATTCACTCTGAAGCAGCAATGGCTGAGGGAAAGTATGGGGAGTAGTGGCCAGGTGTGTTTTACCTGCGCCCATCAATGCGGGAGCAGCAGGCGATCGATACAAAACCGTGTAGGATGCATCTGCCTGAATATTTGGGGATTTTTCTAAAGATCCGTTGGCGCAGAATGAGGTCGTATATACATATATATATATATATATATGTGTGTGTGTGTGTGTGTGCATATGTTTGTTTTGCATTCTTCTGCATATTTTTAGTGTTTTATTCATTTCATTGTGTTTTTTTTTTGTTTGTTTCTTTGGCTTTCTTCAGCGACAGCTTGGCGAGTTGTGTTCTATTTTTCTAAGAGGTGCAGCTTCTCCTGGATGAGTGACCGCGGCTGGTGCTGAAGACTGGCCTGTCACACGAGTTATGGGTGGGCGAAGCCGTCTTGTAATAGAGAGATAATTCTTGGGATTGTGTGCACGCCGATGTTTGGGCATATATTTGTGTACAGATGTGTCTGCATATATGTGAGGTATGTTTTATGAGCATTCAAGCTGAACTGTGCATGGCTCTTTTCTTGCTTGTTCCCTCATGGCACTTCCTACATGCCTTAGTTTGCAGGTGCCCTCTGTGTGTACGCTTGTGTATATGCGCGTTTCCCTCCCAGGTAGCGTCACATCAATATATATATATATATATATATATGTGTGTGTGTGTGAGGCTGTATCTGCAGTTCCTCTTCAATGCAGATCCCATACTGAACTGTGTACGTCTTGTGGGGAGGCTTTCTCATGATGTGGCAGTGTTATTCCGACTGCTGATGGTGGTCAGATTCTTTGTGCTTCTTTTTTCACCCTTTCACGTTCTCTTGATTCCGTGGCGTGTGTGGGGGTACATCTTCTGTACGGTGGACAGTAAGAGCTAGAGAGAGAGAGAGAGTAGAGGAGCACGGTGCGGGTGTGTGAACAGCGGCAATTACACCACCAAGAAGCAGCAATAAGCGAAGGAAGATCTACACAATGCTTTCCCTAGTATATGGTGTGTTTCTCTTTATCACGCTGTTCACCTACGCGATGGCCGCGGTCTTTTGTCTCTGGCGTCTCTCCGTGGTGCGGAGGGCGCCACTTGATGTGGACGGTGAGCAGAAGCCCCATAGCAGAAGCAGTAGCAGTGGCATGGACAGTCACGACGACGAGTGTGGGGCAAGCAGCGGCAGCAACAGCTGCGGTAGCATGCTCGTCGACGCACCTCTCGCCTCGTGAGGTAAAGCGCGGGCACGCACAGTTATGGGTACGGGCACCAGCACGAGCGATAAAAAATAGCAAAAAATGAAAATGTGAGAGTGAGAACGAGAAACGGAGTGAATACAGCCGTGTGTGTATGTTTCTTTGCCGCAAATATTTAGATATGTGTGTGTTTCTGTTTGCGATTAAAGTAAATGTATTTTTTTGTCTTTGTTGCTCTTGGTTCATCATCGATGCGTATGCGCCGTTGGTGTGGCCGGGGGGTGGAGAGAGAGACACGTCTATGTATCTACAGGTACGGTGATTGAGGGCAATGGTGGCGCTGGGGGCGCGAAGGTGTGCGGGTGATTGTGCGATAGAGCGAGAGAGATGGTGAAGGTAATTCCCCTGTGTTGGTTGACCAGCCTCTGCTGGTTTCTTTCATTATTATTTTTTTCCCCCTTCTCAGTTATTTCTACGAAACGCATACACAAGCGTAACTGCGCGGCGGCAGCGCACACGACCAGGATTCACGCGTCATAGCTATTCATCCATTCTTTCCCCTTCGTTCATTAGTTTCGTTTAGCCTCCCCCATCATCTCTCTCGCTCTTGTATGGGCACATGCGAGGGTTGCTTATCAACCGCCATCTTTCGGTCATTTTTTTTTTCTGGTGTATCTTTTTCTGTATGTGTGTGAGCGTGTGTTTTTTTTTTGTGTGGTTGTACTTCCGTTTGTTTCGTTTGGGCGCGCAGGTGCGCGTGGTCTTCCCCGCTCTGCTCGCAGTCACATGCGTCGCTCGCTCTGGCTCTATCTCTCCTTCTCTCATAGAGTCAGCTTCTCAGGTGGTGTTGTATATGGGGTGTGGTGGGCAGGAAGAACAGCGGCAGCAAGACGCCGCATGATGTGGGTGTTGTTGGTGTGTGCTCTTGTTGTGCATACGGTGTGCTCGGGCTCGTTGGCGTCCGGCGTGCCACTCCCCCCGTGCGGCGCCGATGCTTCACCACTACCCATCCGCGCTGGGTGCGACGGAGGGGG